GTCATTTCATATTCATCACAGGAAAAATCCATCAGGAAGAAGTCTCAATTCTAAACATCTATGCCCCAAATACAAAGGCACCAACATCCGTAAAAGAAACATTAAAACTGAAATCACAAATAAGACCTCACACAGTTATAGTGGGAGACTTCAACATCACCACTAGACAGGACCACCAGACAGAAACTTAACAAAGAGACAAAGGAGCTAATAGAAGTTATGACCCAATTGGGATTAACAAACATCTATAGAACTTTCCATCCACACACAAAAGAATATACCTTCTTTTCAGCATCACATGGAACCTTCTAAAGAATCAACCACATACTCGGCAACCTAGCAAACCTCAACAGGTACAAAATAATTGGAATAATCCCCTGTGTCTTATCAGACCACCATGCTTTAAAGTTAGAATTCAAAAACAATACAAATTGCAGAAAGCCTACCAACTCATGGAAATTGAACAACTCGAAATTGCACCATTGCTGGGTCAAGGAAGAAATAAAGAAATTAAAGATGTCCTAGAATTCAATGAAAATGAAAACACAACATACCCAAACTTATGGGACACCTTAAAAGCAGTACTAAGAGGAAAGCTCATAGCTCTAAGTGCTTACATGAAGAAACAAGAGAATAGTCACCCCAGAGAGTTGATTGATTCATATGGCATCATATAACCTTCATCCAGCAGCTGGTGGAAGTAGAAGCAGACACCCATAGGTAAACACTGAACTGAACTGAAATCCAGATGCAGAGAAGGAGGACTGATGAGCAAACGGGTCTACACCAGGCTGGTGAAACTGACAGAAACAGCTGACCCGAACAAGGGAAAACTCTTGGTCCCCAGACTGATAGCTGGGAAACCAGCATGGGACTGATACAGACCCCCTGAATGTGGGTGTCAGTGAGGAGACCTTGGAAATCTATGGAATCTCTTGTAGTGGATCAGTACTTATCCCTAGCATAGGAATAGACTTTAGGAGCCCATCACTCATGGAGGGATACTCCCTGAGCCTAGACATAAGGGGATTGGCCTAGGTCCTATCCCAAAGAATATGACAGACTTTGAAGAACCCCTATGGAAGGCTTCACCCTCCCTGGGGAGCAGGAAGGGTATGGGATGGGTAGGGTGTTAGTTGGTGTGGGGGGCAGGTGAGGAGGAGAGGGAGAGGGACCTGGGATTGACATGTAAAATAATTTTCTTTCTAATAAAAAAGGGAAAAAGAAAACAAAAACAAACAACAACCAAAACCCGTAAGAAACTGAGGCTCATTGTATGTTACAGATTCATGACTTCATGCAGAGCTTTTATGTTCATACTAGGAATCTGAACTCTGTACACCAACTGAGACTTGAAATTGAAAACTCACCTGCAAGCACTTTCCTTCTTCAAAGTCCAGTAGTATAATGGCTTTCCAACATGGCTGAGCACACAGATGGTAGAGTATGTGCAAGTTCCATGCCACCTCTCAGTGACTGTAGCAAGTAACCCCATCATCCATCACTCAAGGACTGTTCCTCTACAGAAAGACCAAGTCTATGCAATGTAGAGGTGTTGAGAGTATCTGGAAAATGTCAACATAATCCAGTACTGCAGCTGAGGGTAAGAAGTGATTCTTTGCTCACATTGAAGGTGCTTATCAGCTCTACCCAGGATCTCCACAACTGAGTCTTCTCAGACATGCTATGGGCTATCAAGAAAAAGTACTATGGTTTCTGTTTTGTTTTCATCCTGTTTTCCAGCATTCTTCAAGGTCAGATGTTGACATAAATGTGTAGGGTACAGCCAGGCTAGCCCTAACCGAAGATCTTTGGAGATAAAAATAAGACTTACAAAAAGATGAAGTAAATCAAGCACTTGCTTCCTTTATGATCTTACCATGTCCAAGGGGTTTCTGCCTCTTTTCTGATACATTCCTTAAGAAAATTGGACTTACTTTCATTTTTGAGGTTCTGTATAATCCCCATAACATTTGGCTTCTCATATTGTTTTTTCTAAAAACTTAGAGGTTTGCAAGGAAAACAGACTCCCAACACAAGGTGGTACAGAGTTCAGAACACCAAACGTGGCACAGAGAAGCTTTGTGAGGATGTCTGAATTGCAAGGGGCCCACACTTATTGCCTGATGCTGATGCTTTTGCAGGTGATAACTTCTGGTGGGATCACCTTCCGTGACCAGATATGGCATAAAGAGTGTTTTCTGTGTAGCGGCTGCAGGAAAGAGCTTTGTGAGGAGGCATTTATGTCCAGGGATGACTTCCCATTCTGCTTGGATTGCTACAACCATCTTTATGCCAAAAAGTGTGCAGCCTGCACCAAGCCCATCACTGGTAAGTGCTTCAGCTCACCATGGTTCTACCATGATGCAGTTAGAACAATGTAAACTGCTGCCTGGTTAATTTAGGAAATGAAAATAAAAACTTAATTTTTCCTACTGTATTTCCTTTTGATATGGACACAAGCAGATACTTATAAATTTAAATTTTACATGGACCCCCTCAAAGAAATGATGGAATGTAGTTTGAGAGTTTGTACATTTTAAAAAGTAAATACTAAACCTAATGGTATGGTTTCTAAGGACAATAATAGTCCAAGGAAGGAAAACAGATAAACTAAAAGGTCAGACAATGCCCCAATAAGGAGGCCTAATTGGAGACTCAGAAATTTCAAGGGTAGATGGATATTACTGAATCAGAATCCTACTTAATTCCAACAAAAGCCAAACAGATTTAAAATCAAAAGGTTTTAATTAAACTATTCTGTAAAATAGCCACAGCTGTAATTAGAGTAACGTAAAACAGGAATTAATTTAATTTCTTTTTAAGGTGCTTTAAACAAATGTATTACTCCTTTCTCTGTACTCGCAGCAACTTGATTTTGAAAGAAAACAATGTAGTATTCTACTAACAAAGTAAAGCACATGTGATGTGATTTAAAAAAAAATTACATAGATGATAAATTGATCCATGCTGAGTAACTTCTCACAGGGCTGGAAAAGTGCAGTTGTGTTTTCCTCAGAGCCATCTCTAAAATGTTAATCCTGTGGTAAAGAGGCTGAAACCAGCATGAGACTTGACAAACCCAGAAGCTATTCTTCCAGGCAATTTATTGTCATTAATAATGTGACAGAGCTATACTTCCACTTTCTGTTCTCAGTACTCTTCGATCACATTTGAATTTTTAGCTCATATTGCATAACATCTTTTCTCCTGTGACCTCAGATCTCTCTCTCTCTCTCTCTCTCTCTCTCTCTCTCTCTCTCTCTCTCTCTCTCTCTGTGTGTGTGTGTGTGTGTGTGTGTGTGTGTGTGTGTGTGTGAGTGTGTAAAGAAACTATTTTCTCTGCTAAGCTAAACTTGAAGGCTTTACACCTCCTTGCAAATGGAGAAAGTGGTCTCCAAGTTAAGCACAAGCCTGTTTGCCTATAGAGTGAGCACCATGTTTTCTGATTCACACTGAATCCATGAATTGTGTTTGGCTAACAGACAGGTCTCACTTGGCCAAAATTTAATCCACAGGGTTAGGGAGAGGACTAATATAAAAGTCATTGTTACAACTAGAAACAAATTGAGAGCCTGCCACAGATGGTCAGGCTGCCTTCACATTCCCAAGTCACTCTCCTAACCAACTGAGTGGCTGCTCTATTACAGGGGGCAGGTCTTCTCCATTCCTCTGTCATTCAGCTCTGCTACCTCCTTGACTCCTACAAGGACTTACATGAACAATTCCAGGCTATTGGGCTTCTCAGCATGTGTTCCTTCTGCCTTCTATTCATCTGGCAGCTCCTGCAAGGGGAGGCAGCTACCAGCTCCATCACTTTTAGTTAGAACACAGGACTCCCAGATGTTTAAAAACACAAGGACTCCAAAATCTGCTTAGGAAACCCTCCCACCACAGTCTGCTCTAATTTCAGTTGAATTGGGCTAGAAAAAGAGGTCTTCTGATGAGGAAATTAAGAGGCTAAATATTTCAAAATATTTTTTACAGTTAATGGAGATGTTTCAGAGCCTATACCAGCCCTGAACTTCATGGGATTCAGTTCTGATCCATCACATCACCATTCTCCTAAATGGTGTTTCTGCTAAATCTTCCATCAGCCAGTGGCACCAAGCTTCACTCAGTATAGACTGAAATCAACAGATTTTTTATTATTTTTTTAAATTTAAATTAAAAACAATCTTATTTTACATACCAGTCCCAGTTTCCTCTCCTCCCTTTCTCCCATTTCCCCAACCATGTCTCCATCCCACCCCCATCCACTCCTCAGAGAGGGTGAGGCCTCCCATGAGGGACCATCAAAGTCTGCCACATCATTTGGGCCAGGATCTAGACCCTCCCTCCTGTATCTAGGCTGAGAGAGTACACACAGTAAAGTGGCAGGATACAAGATTAACTCAAAAAAATCAGTCGCTCTCCTGTATATAGATGATAAATGGGCTAAGAAAGAAACCAGAGAAACACCACCCTTTACAATATCCACAAACAACATAAAATATCTTGGAGTAACTCTAATCAAACAAGTGAAAGACCTTAATGACAAGAACTTTAAGTCTTTAAAGAAAGAAATTAAAGAGGATATCAGAAAAATGGAAAGATCTCCCATGCTCTTGGATAGGTAGGATCAACATAGCCAAAACGGCAATCTTGCCAAAAGCAATCTACAGATTCAATGCAATTCCCATCAATATCCTAGCACAATTATTCACCAACCTTGAAAGAACAATACTCAAATTTATGTAGAAAAAAAAACCAGGATAACCAAAGCAATCCTGTACAATAAAGGAACTTCCAGAGGCATCACCATCCCTGACTTCAAGCTCTACTATAGAGCTATAGTAATAAAAACAGCTTGGTATTAAACCAACAGTTTCGCACAAAAACATAAATGAATCTAAATGTGACAGTAGTTAAGTGAATAAAGTCAATCTAAAGGCATTTCTAAGGATTGTCTCAAGACTGAAATGCCTGCAAAAACTGCCAGTTCATTCTAACAGTTTTTAAATATTTCTTCAATCCCTAAAGTCAGGCTTCTTTAAAATGAAATAAACACACAACATGGAACCCTGGGAATGCTATATGTTTATCTTCAGAAGTTGTGAACTCATACAAACACTTAACCATCTTAGGCACATTCTTACAGATAAATTCAAGTTTAGGAAACTTGCTGTACACTGTGGTGACTATACTGAATGATAACACATTATATAATTGAAAATCCATAAAAGACTGAATTTTAAAAGATGTATTTGAAGGAATTCATGTTAGTTGGGTTGATTTATGCATTCTGTAATGTTTGCATTACAAATACATACAATTAAAATCAATATTTGAAGAGAAGATCTTTCTGTTAGGATGCTTTTAGTATAGAACCCTACGTTAACTAAATCTACCTATATATGGTTGTATGTAATTGACTGATACTATTACAATGAATTCACCTTATTTGAGCTAATTATAGATATAACTGATTTTCTTTTTACTTTTATTTTTAGTTAAAATATAATTACTTCACTTCTTCCCTTTACTGTCCTCCCTTCATCCCTGCCCATTT